ATAACCACATAAACATGCCTAGGCTTTCAGATCTTTCTTCTCCAGACTTAGATGCCCATTTTCAAGAACAGTTTAGTTATCAGGAACACAATTTTTTTTACTGCCGTTTCCTAAATGATAGAATTTCCTCTCCACTAAAATGGAACAAAACAAAGCTGCTCCACTGATAGCAGGAAGCTTCCCTTCTGAACAGGAAACTAGGTGGCCTGTGCTAGGTCACAAGCACTCTGAATTAGGCTTTTTCTCCAGTTGGACCACATCTAGGTATCTGTAAGTGTGGGTTTGTCAGATGGAGTTCCCAGAGTGAAGAATTGTGGGATTTGTCCAAAAATTCTGATAACCCCAGACCTACCAGTTGATGTTTCCGGACCATCTTCAAAAGCTGTTGTTTGTAGAGTAGATTACAGTGGTTTGTCTTGGTTGTAACTAGTGCATAACAGAAGGATGCTGATCACTCAGCAGCCTTTTCTGAAGATTTTGCACAGATTTTGCAAAGAAAGTTGCATAGCTCTGCTCTGACTTAGAAGCTGTAGTTCCTCTTGATGTAACTTTGCTCCCTGTTTGTTCAGTTATAATGGATATGTTTCATTTGGGGCAGCCTAATGTTATGGACAGGATATTTGGGGAGGTGAAAGCCACCATTAGTATGCTGGACCCTTGCCCTTCCTCTTATAAAAGCAGCCAGAGGGGTACTGACAGAGTGAGTTAAAGGAGTGGTGAAAGCCTCCTTGCAGCAAGGTAAGATACAAAAATGTCTTAAGGAGGCAATAGTAAGACTTTTTTTTTAAACTTTGAACCCCACTATATTGGATAATTATTGTCCAGTCTCCTATATTTCATTTTCGAGCAAGGTCTTTGTGTTGTGGTGTATCAGCTCCAGAGGTTCTTGGATGAAGTGGATTATTTAAATTTATTTCTGTCTGGCTTCAGGCCTGGTTTACTTAGAGAAAAGTAAAAGTTACAAAATTGAGACAGCTTTGGTCACCTTGCTGGATAACCTATGCTGGGAACTGAAAAAGAGGAGTGCATACCTGTTGGTTTTGCTGGATCTCTTGGCACCTTTTGATAGCATTGACCATGGTATCCTCCTGGAGCACCTTTCTGGCGTGTGTCTTAGAAGTACTGTTTTACAGTGATTCCGATCCTTCCTGGATGGCTAAACTCCAAAGGTGGCATTGAGGGAATCCTGTTTGACACTCTGGCCATTAGTCTGTGATGTCTCTCAGGTTTGGAATGCACTGCCCTGAAAAGCCAGGTTGGCACCTTCCCTCCTGTCCTTCTGTCGTCAGGCAAAGATCTTCCTTTTCAGCTAGGCCTTTAAACAGTACCTTCGAGGGACATGGTGGCACTGTGGGTTAAATCGCAGAAGCCTCTCTGCTGCAAGGTCAGAAGACCAGCAGTCGTAAGATCTAATCTACGCGACAGAGTGAGCTCCCGTTGCTTGTCCCAGCTCCTGCCAACCTAGTAGTTCGAAAGCATGCAAATGCAAGTAGATTAATAGGTACCACCTTGGTGACAAGGTAACAGTGTTCTGTGTCTAGTGCTGGCTGTGTGACTACGGAAACTGTCTTCGGACAAATGCTGGCTCTACGGCTTGGAAATGGGGATGAGCACCACGCCCTAGGGTCGGACACGACTGGACTAAATGTCAAGGGGAACCTTTTTTAGCAGTACCCTGTTTCTGGAATGCTGGTTTTTAAGTTGCAGGTTTTTAAATATCTTTGAATTGTTTTTAAACTTGATTTTTATAATCTTAATATATGTTTAATTTTTTAATATGATATTTATATAGTATTTTTAAATCTGTTTTATCTGTTGTGAGTTGCCTCAGATTCTCTATGGGGTTATATGAATGTGGCATATAAATACTTTAAATAAAAAAAATATAGTGCATTGTTCAAGATAAAGTTTCCACAAATAACACTAAGTGCAAGATGGTAGCAAAATGAAGAAACAAAATCAAGTGTTGGTAGAAAGGACCCAGCACATTGTTCCTAACTCTATAGGTGCTGGGTGTGACTTAGCCTCGTTGAATACTGCACACCAGCCCTGCTGCTGCATCCAGAGCAACACAGGCCTCAGCAGTTGCACTTCCAAATAATGTGCTGCCATCATATGCACGTCACAGAGCCAGTTTCTTCCACAAAACATCTAGTCTACTCTCCGCTTCTTCCATCAGCACCCCTCCATTGTAAACATGAATCTTCCTTTGGGAGAGATTTATTTAATCAGTGCATAAATTCATATCGTATAACTACTTCAGAGTCTCAGAGTAATCATCTTGGCTATCCACTCTGTTCCTTCTCTGTGCCTACAGTCACATGTCACATCAAGAGGAGGAGAAAATATTGTCACATCAAGCTATGATTACAAGAATTTCCATCTCTTATTCTGTGTTTCTTGCAGTGGTGGCATCACAAGAGTCAACCCTCCAGTATATTACTGTCCTGGCTTCCACTTCGATTCAGAACATTGTTAATGCTTGCTTGCCTTGCTTGCACAAATGAAATATTGGGAAGCCATGGACTAAAGTATCTGGACAAGGAAAAAGAGGGTAAACCCCCTTAGATCCCCTGGGCTTTCAGATGCCTGTTTAATACCACTAGAGTTTGCTCCATCCTATTGGAATAGGAAGTGCCATTCAGAATGGACAGTATTACTCTGAGGACCATGACAACAAAGTGATACCCACTCCTGGGCTTTGTGCAAGTACAGTGGTGCCTCAATTTATTAAATTAATCTGTATCGGAATGGTGGCCATAAATTGAAATTTTCATAAGTCAAAGTACCATTTCCCATTGAATTGCATGGGAATGGATAAATGTGTTCCAGCATTTCAAAAAACAAAACAAAACAAAAAACCCACAAAATTAAAGCACACAGAAAGCCCCATCAGAAGGTGCCTAGGCTTTAAAAAAATAACAACCGAAAAGCCTTTGAGCAAGCTCCGAAGGCTGCAAAACCCACCACCACCAAAAACAAACAACACAGCACAGAAACACAACCCCACTCAGCTGAAACTCATCCTGCAAAACCCACCCAGAAGTTTCTAAAAAGCAAAAAGTAGCACCTTACCAGGCAGACTGAAGCCTTCTCTGATGGCACTCCCTCCCCGGCAGATGGTGGCCGGCAACAGGCACCAGCCGGCGCATAGGGCAGCCAGGGCGGTGGCAGGGGCCCCTTACTCATGAGTAGACCCACGCCAGGGATGTGCAGGGAACACACTGGCTTCCTGTGCCCAGCAGCGAACTGGAGTCGCCTTCCTCCTCTTGTGCGTCCGCTGCACGCCTCGTCCATGGAGGAGCCCCTCTGACCTGCGTGCCCCAGCCCAGGGCCTTCAGGGACTCTTACTCATGAGTAGATCCATGCCTTTGACAGGCCTTACTCATGAGTAGACTCGGACCAGGGATGGGCTGCGCCCGGCAGCAATCTGGAACTGCCCCCACCTCTCCTTACTCCTCCTGCCCTGCAAGAGTAAAAAAGTTTCCTGCTCTAACCGTTGAGCTGAAAGAGCTACAAAAAAGCAGCCTCTTCCCCACCAACAGTTTGAATTCCCCACCTTTTCCCCCTGCTTTTTTCTGTTCTTACGTCAAAGCTCCCCTTGCAAGTCAAAGCAAAATTTTGCCAGCGGAGCTGTTTGTAAGTCGAAACGTTCGTAGGTAGGGGTGTTCGTAAATCGAGGCACCACTGTAAATCCTCTTCTCCACTGGATAGTGGATCATCTGCCGTATATCAACGTGGAGTATTTGAAGGGGAAACTGTATACCCAGATGAACTGGGTGCTTTATCAAAAATGTTCCTTCAACTGCTTAGGAAATGGGGAGGGGGGCAGTGTTCCAGTTGTTGTTGCAGCCCTTTGCCAAGTCTCAAACTCTTCTCAATATACCTGAATGAGAGGGTGAAGTTTGTGGATACCTTGAAAGTTGTGGTGACCCGGGGGGCTGTCCTAGGCCTTTCCCCAATTTGTTTCTGTCATGCTCAGAAGGTACAGGCTCTTCAAAGTATTTCTGATTACTATTTGGAAAACTCTGCACCCAATGTTTTTGGAATAGTGGAAACTCAGTATGACCTCATTATGCAAGCTGATGATTAGTTGTTTGTACCGTCAGAACCTGGAGTGGCTTCACATCTCTTCCTGGAGGCTGAGCAACAGCAGCCTATAGCAAGCAGACAGCTGGAAAATACTGGATATACTAATGCAACTTCTAAAAGGGACTCTACCAATAAAGTGTATCAAACAACATGATCTGTATTTTGGTGCAACCATAGGAGGAAAGGGCTTTCTTCGTAGAAAGCAGCTGCCCAAGATTTCTGTTGGCAGGCCTTGAGCAGAGTTTAGCTCTCAACACACTAAACTCTGTGTTATTTAGTCTGCAGACCTGAGCAGTGTCATAGTGCTACAGCACACCTGCCACAGGTGAAATGTTTTCTGATTGAGTTGAATATACATATTTCCTGCAGAATACTGGCTCACTTCATTTGACATCAGTTTGTTACTACAGGCACTAAAACATCCTCTGCTTGAACCCCTAAGGAGAATATAAATTGATTTGGAAGATGATACACTTGCTGGTATTTCTGCCATGAGAGTGGGTGAACTGCATATTGTGTCTGTCTGGGAACTTTGAATGTTCCAGTTGGATAGAGTTCTGCTTTACATGGGCCTGTTGTCTTTTCTAGAGGCGAATCTTCTCTTTTGCAGGAGCCATGATACTTTGTTTCCTGACTTGCTTGAGCACAGTTCATCTTACAGAAAGAGAATGGCATAAATTAGACATGTGTGGAGTTCTCTACATGTAAAAGGTCATGTGGTAGAAAAGAAGGCTCCCAGCTTCCCTAAATTATTTGTAAATAAAACAGTTTCCAAACTGTACACACATTTGTAATGCACTACACTGCTAACTTGGCCGGGGAAGGTAACAATTGCTTGAAATATGCTTGTAAATTTTAGAAAGAAAGCTTTAATTCTGACTACTTTTTTAAAATATATATATTTACAGGTGTAACTAAGAAGATCACCTTTTATTGATGTGTCAGCTGGATTATCAACACCAGGAAACCTAAGTCAAAATGAGGTTAAAGACTTCTCTGCTAAAGGAACCGAAGCATATCCTTTGTTTATTTCAGCAACAATGTTGTTGGCATAGATTACAGTATTTCTCAATGTAGAAATGTTAAAATGTAACTGGCTGTGTTTAGTTTTTATGTGAGAAGAAGGCAATTTACGCAAGCAAGTTTTCTCCTCTCCCACAATGAATTTGAATAATACATAAATCAAATACTGTACCAATATAACATAATTTTGAAATATTACTAAGAATTATAACAATCCACTTATAAATTACAACTCTTTGCATGATTATAACTAAAGCAAGGACTATTGCTTGAACTGGTCAGCCTAATACTTTGAAAACCCTCTTTGAGTTAGGAAATATTACATTTGGAAAAACACCCCTTTTTGCAGCCCCCAGTGCCAGGAGTTGTTGTGCTCAGGTCATGTAGTCTGGCATGAGATTTCAGGTAACCTGAGTCATATTAGATAGTATAAGAGCAGTTGTATCTTCTTTTTTTTTTTTTTTTTGGAATTTTTTTCTTCTTTTTTTTTTTTTTTTTTTGCAGCCTGAGGGAAAACACCTTTAGGGTAATACAGGCAATGGTTATGGTAAATAGGTAATTTTCTGCCAGTTTGACTGTCCCATGGCCAGTCTGAGACAGTTCTTTTGTTGTTGACAAATGAAAGAGGCTTAAAGGTTGCTTGAACTGTGAAGATTTGCAATGCAGATCGATGCCATCTGCCCTGGCATAATAGTGAGAAGAAAGGATTTACCTGTATTTGATTTATTATCTCTCACAAATACTGTTGCTTCTAAGCTCATAAGGTAAAGTAACTGAAAATTTGCCAGCTACTTATGAGAAAGTATGAAAGTTTTATTGCTAGTAAGTTAGTTCTGCTATAGCCATTCCCACAAATATGCCCCTTATCTTATACCCAGTGGATCCATACTGCTCAGACACATGGCAACAACACAAAAGTATAGTTTGCATAGCATTAATTCAAGAATATAACTCAGGCACTCCCATGGGCTATTAGAAGCTAGAAGTTTATAGCATACTGAACTTGTCAAGCAGTATTATCTCCTAGATGTCTATTCTCAGAAACAATTCTATGAAATAACACCCATAAAACTTTATAGTTAGGGCTTTTATCAGTTAGATTACAATAAAAACAAAAGCAGCAGTATAGAGTAGTATGAACACTTTTCTGGGACTGACGATTAGAATGTCTGAAACTTCTGGGCAGCATTCTGCCATTGATACCACTTTAGGTCTATATTTCAGTAACAGCACAGAGCAAAAATAAATGCTTTTCTCTATAGAGTTGTTGTTGGACCACTAAAATTTGCAGCATGTCTGCTGAATAAGTTTCTTTTTTCCTTTACAAACAAGCTGCTTCCTTCCTCACTTACTTCCTCAAGTCATACACAGATTTTTTTTCTCATACCATCAGCTTTTAGTGGCAGAGAGCTCTTGGAACCTGGTCATGCATTTCCAGGTCTTGGTATATATGGTGGTGTATTCTCTAATGCATACCTATTTTAATAGCATTATCTTCATAGTTTATATTTATAGTTTACATTTATAACACTGACATTACTCTGTGTCATATTTTAGTCGTGTGTGTCATTATTATGCTCATGTCTGGCTCAGATTTTTGAATGTTTTTAGTTTGCAGAGGATGAACAAAGCTATTGTTCCTGACATCAACAGAATTATTTTCTTGCTTATATAGGATTTGTATCTCTCCCTTTCAGTGCTTAAACACTGTGGAAAAGAAGTTTAAACAATTAAAAAGTGTAAAGTAACATTCCATTGAAATAATAATATTACAAGATAGAGAGAACATTAGTAGATAAGCATAAGATAGAGTTATTTGCTTGTTAAAACAAAGTCTGAATTTGGTAAGTGGAATAAAATTATTGAGGAATGTGATAAATAGAATAAAACTACAATCCAGCAGAACACAGGAAGAGAAAGTCCTAATAGGCCTTCTATTTGAGATAAGGGTAGCTTGAAAAGCATGTTGATTAGTAATATGCACATGTTATTGTGCATTTGATCATATAAAGATAATGGTATTTATTTGTGGAAAGCAGCTACAGTACGTACAGTGGTGCCTCGCGTTACGATTGCCCCGCATTATGACGAAACCACATTACGACAATCTTTTTGCGATCTCAAAACAATGGTCTAAATGGGGTTTTTTCGCTTTGCGATGATCAGTTCCCTGCTTCGGGAACCGATTCTTCGCAAAACGACGATTTTAAAACAGCTGATCGGTGGTTTCAAAATGGCCACCGGGTAAACAAAATGGCTCCCCACTGTTTTCTGGGATGGATTCCTTGCAAGACAGGCAGCGAAAACGGCTGCCCTATGGAGGATCTTCGCTGGACAGTGAGTTTTGACGCCATTGGAACGCATTGATGGGGTTTCAATGCGTTTCATTGAGGGTTTTTTTTTTCGCTTTATGATGTTTTCGCTTAATGGCGATTTTCCTGGAACGGATTATCGCCGTTAAGCGAGGCACCACTGTACTTTCTGTTGATCAAAATAATTATCAAAGGACGTGTCATAACCTTAGAAAGTTTTCAAAAGGTGATTTATTATAAAAAATGCCAAGTCATATTTGCTATAACTTTAATAGAAATTACACAAGGACAAATCATTTCATACTCTAATTATATTCTAATAAACTGAATTAAAAATATACTCACTTGGATCCTAACTAATGCTCTAGGAGGAGCATACCCTTGGTGGACCTCTGCTCATGGGAGCTCACAGTTAAGCCTAGCCGATTCTCCTTCCAGCTCTTTGCACCCATTAAATTAGCTCCAGAGGACCCCTGGAATATGGGAGTGGTGACATAGGAGACTTCAAACAAAATGGAATATTGGCAAACATTTATTGTCTCCTTCCCACTTCAACTTCCTGTAGGAGAAGATGTTGAATCAGATGTCCTTTTGAAGCTTAGAAGTGGTTGTTTTCTTCATAGAAGTGAATGTAGGCTCTGAACCACTGACTCTCAAGTGTGCTTCCCCAAATACAGAGCTTTAAAAAATAAATTGAAATTAATGCTCAAACTTACTATTTGTATTTTACAACAGTAATTTTGGTCTGCCAAAAGTTTTTAATTCAGCAGGACAGAGGAAAATAGCCGATTTTCATGGGAGTAATCTGTTAATATTTTGTATCTGTAATGCAGAAAAAGAGTACAGTATTGCTGTGCAGGGTTTACTTCTGATTAAACTTGCACAGGATTTCTCTGTAGATCTATTATAACACAGTCTGTTAGCCTCAGTCACATTTCAGATCGAAAGCTGAATGAAAACATCCCATTCTCATTTCCAAACTAACAGAAACTATCTGTAAGCCAGTAAATGTGCTTTCGAATTTATATTTTAAATATAAATAAATTATACAGATTTATACGTATAGATATTTACAGTGGTGCCCCACTTGACAACGATAATCTGTTCCAGCAAAATCGCTGTAGAGCGAAATAATCATCAAGCGGGGGGAAAAACCCATTGAAACGCATTAAAACCCAGTTAATGGGTTCCAATGGGCGAAATACCTAATTGTCCAGTGAAGATCCTCCATAGGGCCGCCATTTTCCGGTGCCTGTAAAGCAAAAAAGCCGTCCTAAACACAGCGGGGAGCTGTTTTGCACAGCGGGTGGCAATTTTGAAACCCGGCAATAAGCTGTTTTCTGATAGTCGTTAAACGAAAAATCAGTTCCTGAAGCAGGGAACCGATCATCGTCAAGCGAAAAAGGCCCTTTGAAACATTGCAAAAACATTGTGAAGCAATTTCATCGTATAATGAGGGAATCGTCAAGCGGGGCACCACTGTATATGTATACATTCTTCCATATGAACCTACCTGGCAGTTAAGATCTAGCAAGGGGGCCCTTTTAAAAGAGCCATCCCTCAAAGAGGTAAGAGGGATGGCTTGTAGACAAAGGGCCTTTTCAGCAGCTGCCCCCAGACTATGGAATGCCCTCCCAACTGAGATTCGTCTGGCGCCAACGCTGATGACATTTCGGTGCCAGGTCAAAACTTTCCTGTTCCAGAAGGCTTTTAATTGAAATAATATCAACCGTGGGTTGCCCGATGGCAACTTTTCGAGTATATATTTTAATTGTATTTTAATTGTTTCTCTGAGTTACTCAAGCCCCTTCGCCACGACAAGGCAGCAATCCATGAAGAAGTTAATCTAAATTAATCTATTCTAAATAATTGTTGATTTCAAGCTGTTAGTATGCCACTTGGGGTCTCCCACTAAGGGAGAAAGGTGGGATTTTTTTTTAAAAAAGGAAATAAATGTTGGAATTAGGCAAGATGTGATCTGTGCTAAATAAGATTGTCACAAAACTGTAGTTTCAAACAATAATTTTAAACTAATGCCTAATTCATCTAAATTAATCTATTCTAAATAATTGTTGATTTCAAGCTGTTAGTATGCCACTTGGGGTCTCCCACTAAGGGAGAAAGGTGGGATTTTTTTTTAAAAAAGGAAATAAATGTTGGAATTAGGCAAGATGTGATCTGTGCTAAATAAGATTGTCACAAAACTGTAGTTTCAAACAATAATTTTAAACTAATGCCTAATTCATGTTAATGTCTGTACACAGCTAGAGAAACAGGTGACCTCGAAATGGGTTGGTTTTTGATTAAATTAGTTTTGGCTATAATTCCATTGAAATCAAAGGGACAAGGTGGTAGTGCCTGTTGTGCTGATCTCAGAAGGACAAAAGCATTAACTTAATCTGGATCCAACCAAACACTTTTATTATGTGCTTGTTTATATTTAACTTTCTCTCTCCCCCCCCAAAAAAAGATACAATAGTCTTTTCTTAAGAAGTTTGTTCTCATGCTTTCAAGATGAAATAATTGTATAAATTCCTAGGAATCAGCATCATTTAACAATGAACCCAATATAGGGCTTGATATGTATTTCAAATATCCTAAGTGAGACAATCAGATACATAGGATATTTTAGTCCTTGTGAAATTGATTGTGTTATTAATGTTTAAGATACATATGTAGAGAGTATCTTTGTATGTATAATTTTTTTTTGCCTGTATAGTTGATTGAATTGTATGAGATCCTTAATTTTGTTAAAACATAAGGAATTGGTTAGTTGTGTAGGCTGGACAACAGCAGATGAGCTCTATTCATGCAGTGATGATCACCAGATTATGAAGTGGAACCTGTTAAATGGTGAAACAACACTAGTAGTGAAGCTTCCTGATGATATCTATCCCATAGATCTTCACTGGTTTCCTAAAAGTTTAGGTGGCAAGAGACAAATCCAAGCTGACAATTTTGTACTCACAAGTTCTGATGGTAAGTTATCTTGCAAATATGTATTATTAAGTTCACCACAGTACTTTTAGTAGTGTTTTCTTTTGTAAATTAATGGTTGAAATCTAGTAGTAAGTTACAATTAGAGCAGTCCCTTTGAATAAGTGCAACTAATGGAGGAATTGACCCACCAAATCCCATTGCCTCAGTAGGCCTACTACAGAGAGCCCAGGGATCACAAACTGACCCCATGAAAAATGTGTTTTTGAAAGCATAAGCATGGTGATTGTGTGGTTCGTTCCCCTCATGTGCTCATTCTGCTCTAAGAATTATTATTAGAAGATAGGATTTTGTCACTATCATATCTAATAGCCCACTCATGCTGAATTAAGCTTGGAATTTACCACACTGAGCATCACTGATCTTATTTGATTTTTAGAAACTAAGCAGAGTCACGAAGAGTCGGACACGACTAAACGACTAAACACACACACAAGCAGAGTCATGTCTCATTATTATTTGGATGACAGATCATATGAAAATACAGTGGTGCCTCACACAACGATGTTAATTGGTTCCAAAAAAATCAACGTTGTGTGAAACATCGTTCTGTGAAACACCATTTCCCATAGGAATGAATTGAAAACCAGTTAATCCGTTCCAATTGGAACAGATTGCCGTCTTTAAGTGAAAAAACCCATAGGAAACATCGTTGAGTGAAACAATGTTTCCTCCATTGAAATGTATTGAAGCCGACTCAATACATTTCAATGGCTTTGCGAAGTCCTTTTTCGCTCCTGTAAAAGTGCCTTACAGTGTTTGGCACAGGTTTTAAATGCTTGCAATCGTTAGCCCACCTCCTGAGCCCTATGCAAACTTAATTTGATGTTGTTCTGAGTCATCCTTAATTTTTAGTGATTTTTTGAATTTTCTCTCATTGGAATGTATTGAACTTTCCGTCCAATGCATTCCAATGAGAGAAAATTCAAAAAATCACCAAAAATTAAGGACGACTCAGAACAACACCAAATTAAGTTTGCATAGGGTTCAGGAGGTGGGCTAACGATTGCAAGCATTTAAAACCTGTGCCAAACACTGTAAGGCACTTTTACAGGAGCGAAAAAGGACTTCGCAAAGCCATTGAAATGTATTGAGTCGGCTTCAATACATTCCAATATAGGAAACATTGTTTCACTCAACGATGTTTCCTATGGGGATTTTCACTGAACGATGGCAATCTGTTCCAATTGGAACGGATTAACCGGTTTTCAATTCATTCCTATGGGAAATGGTGTTTCACAGAACGATGTTTCACACAACGTTGATTTTTTTGGAACCAATTAACATCGTTGTGTGAGGCACCACTGTATACCCGACTGCTTAACTGAGGAAGTATGAGGTCTTATAGTTTTATTTAATTAATTGGAATGAGACTGGGTCATAACTTGGTACCCCTTGTCCGACAGCATGTATCTCTGGCACTCATTCCCAGCAGGATAGTCCTGTCAAAGTTTGCTTGGAGTTAAGGGAGAATCTAGACCGTTGTTATATCACCTTTTGCTGTCAAACAAGGGGGGGCTGAAAAAATTCAAATAAAAAGAATAAAGGATGCACAAAAGAAGAGGGAAATGGGAAAACGAGGATGGCCCATTATTCCTGTATCTTGTATTGGGGAGGAGTCATGAAGGTTTCCGTTTCAACCACCAGCATCTCCAGACAGATCTAGAAATTTTTTTTACTTGAAACCCTAGAGAGCCATTGTCTGTTAGAGTTGACAGTACTAGGCTAGATAAACCAATGAACTGAACTCGGTACAATGCAAAGTGCCTCGTGGCGCAGTGGTTAAACTGCTGTACTGCAGCCAAAACTGTGCTCACAACCTGGGGTTTAATCCCAGGTAGCCGGCTCAAGGTTGACTCAGCCTTCTATCCTTTTGAGGTCAGTAAAATGAGTACCCAGCTCGCTGGGGTGGGGGGGCAATGTGTGCCCTGCATAATTAACTTGTAAACCTCCCAGAGAGTGCTTGAAGGACTATGGGGTGATATATATGCAGCATTTTTTTTTGCTCTATGCTCCCTGCTGTAGGACGTTTATTTCTGTTAAACTTAATAGAAACCAGGTGGTTTCAAGTCCAATTGAAAATTATTTACTTCAAGGTTTTTCTAAGTTGACCAAATGGTAGGACATTTATTCTTGTACTGAAAGCAGCTGCATAACCAGAAATTATGGTTATGAATTCTTCCCCTGCACATAGTCCAGAGTTCGTTTCGTTTAGTCGCTTAGTCGTGTCCGACTCTTCGTGACCCCATGGACCAGAGCACGCCAGGCCCTCCTATCTTCCACTGCCTCCCGGAGTTGTGTCAAATTCATGTTGGTTGCTTCGCAGACACTGTCCAGCCATCTCATCCTCGGTCGTCCCCTTCTCGTCTTGCCGTCACACTTTCCTAACATCAAGGTTTTTTCCAAGGAGTCTTCTCTTCTCATGAGATGGCCAAAGTACTGGAGCCTCAGCTGCATGGTCTGTCCTTCCAGTGAGCACTCAGGGTTGATTTCCTTTAGAATGGATAGGTTTGTTCTCCTTGCAGTCCAGGGGATTCTCAAGAGCCTCCTCCAGGACCACAATTCAAAGGCATCAATTCTTCGGCGGTCTGCTTTCTTTATGGTCCAGCTCTCACTTCCATACATCACAACAGGAAAAACCATGGCTTTGACTATTCGGACTTTTGTTGGCAAGGTGATGTCTCTGCTTTTTAAGATGCTGTCAAGGTTTGTCATCGCTTTCCTCCCCAGAAGCAGGCGTCTTTTAATTTCGTGGCTGCTGTCTCCATCTGCAGTGATCATGGAGCCCAGGAAGATAAAATCTGTCACTGCCTCCATATCTCCCCCCTTCTATTTCCCAGGAGGTGATGGGACCAGTGGCCATGATCTTAGTTTTTTTGATGTTGAGTTTCAGACCGTTTTTTTGCACTCTCCTCTTTCACCCTCATTACAAGGTTCTTTAATTTCTCCTCACTTTCTGCCATCAGAGAGGTATCATCTGCATATTGGAGGTGGTTGATATTTCTTCCGACAATCTTAATTCCGGGTTGGGATTCCTCCAGTCCAGCCTTCCACATGATGTGTTCTGCATATAAGTTAAATAAACAGGGAGACAATATACAGCCTTGTCGTACTCCTTTCCCAATTTTTAACCAATCAGTTGTTCCATATCCAGTCCAGAGTTAGATACCTACAAGTGAATAATCCAGAATTAAATGTCTGTGACATCATTCAGACAAGCAGAGTGACTTTGTTGGATAGTGTCCATGAAGTTTCATGTTACTCTGGTGACCCTAAAAAATGAGGGTAGCAATGTTGTCATTTTGAACTTCTGTTATTTAAAATGAAGAAAAGAAAGTTGGCATTCATTTTAGTTTCTTCTACATCTGCAGCTTGAGGATACATGAAGTTATCTTTAAAGAAACACATTGTGTTTATTGAAAAGAGAACAGTGCAACTGTTATGCACATGTAGGCATTATACGGTCATTAATATGTTTGTCAGAGCACTACTGCACCATCAATCAAAATACTACAGACTATTTATGCATGTATCTGACTAAGGAAATTCTTCTTACATGATAGCATGCCAATTTTAATCTGATTTATGCTTTTAATATTGCAACCAGAATTCTCTTGAGCTCATTACATTTTAAGAATGCATTTTGATATGTAAAATGTAGATGGTATCCACTGGGAATGTCATTCAACCACATATGTAATAGAGGAGCCATTATGTCTTGAAGCATATCTAACTAGGCAGCTGGTATAAATCATTGATTTAAAGGAGTAACACACCTCTGTAAAAACAAAGGAGTTGTGTAGAATTCTTAGATTTGGTGGGTTAATCATCTGTGATTTTCACATTTAAGACCAAATGCACTAGAAACCTCTACACAATGTAGGATTTCATTGAAAGGTTTTTTTCTTGTCATAATGTATCTGATATGTATCTCACTTATCCAAATGGTTCATGTAACAATATTGCTACAAGATAGGAAATATTGTCTGTACTCATAAGTAAGATTTTTTTACCACATTATATTAGAAGACTTAGAGGCATAAAACATTACCAAAAAATAAATAAAGAAATCCTTGGCTTTATATCTTGCTATATCTTAGAAACCCAGCCTGGATTGCATACCCCCTGTTTTTAAATTCAAAGTTTGGGGTGACCATGTCCCTCCTTGAAGATTTTGCATCTGCAAAAGAATGAGATGAGGACAGAGAAAAGCATGAAAACCTAAAGATTCCAAAATCTCTCATCAAAAATGATATGCATTATTCTGGGTCTCTACAGTTCATTAAGACACTTATATGCCTGATTAATATACCAATATATGGATAAGCAGTAGCTCCTTTCCTGTGTACTCTAGCAGCACCGAAAAGTCAGAAACTCTTAAATTAACAGTCATTTCATTCTCATGGAAAGTAGAAAAGGATGGTTAATGACCGTGGAAAAAGACTATCAAGTCAACTTCATTTGTAAATAACACCTTTTAAGGAGTGGTATGGTATGGTATATCCCAGGCTGGAGTATATCGTTTCATGCCGTGTATCTCAACTTGTTTTGATCGGTTAGTCATAATTTCTTGATTTGGATGAAACATAAAGTGATAGACAATGAAAGAGGTCCTTGTTTATTTTCATTGCTTGTGTCACAGAAAATATACTGGACTGAATCAATATCTGAATTGTATCATGTTCAAGATTGTACCAAGGAAAAAAATAATTGTGGCTGAAATCCTGTTGGGCAGTTTACCTCTGCAGAAGCTTAACAACATCATTAGACGGAGGCGATATTTTATAATTAAAAATTTCCTGTATCTGTCATGTGGACTTTCCAACACCTCTGTAATCACTTTCACTTCATGGGATGCTGTGGGAGCCACAGGACAGAAGTAGGAAGTTTTAGTTCCTGACAATCATGCCTTCCACTTATGTCATCACCTTTTTGCATGCATACTGTATATTATTTTGCATGCACATGTTATGTAACAGGAT